CTGGGGAAGCCGCTCCATTGACCGAGGCCCGCTTGTTACCTTCCGAGGAGGTCCCGTTGACTCCACTGCAGCCAGCCGAGATCGCCCGAGGAGAAGAGATGACACTGCCCCCAGTGTCCTGCTCAGCAACAGGTCTGTCCCCATTGCCGCCGACTGCAGGACTCAGACGTTCTGGACAAGTGAAGTGTCACCCTGCCTACCTGGACAGTTACGCATGCACAATTCCAGGGGGAAGGAGTGTTGCGACCAGCAAGTCTTCACTCCGGTTCGCTTTTTGAGCAGGAGCCGGAGAAGCCGCTGATTGGCTGGGCTGTTTGACAGCTCCATATAAAAGGAGCTGTCAAACAGGATCAGCTGTCTCTCTCAGCTGCTGCCACAAGCTAGCAGCTAGGCGCGGCTGAGATACATTTTAACGAATAAAGCCTGTTAGCTTTATTCTTGCCTCTGCCTCTTCATGTGCCAAACACAAAAGTAGATTTGTTGTGGATGCGATTAACTTCGATTTCCTTCCACTATGTAGTGGTCTGTGATCTGCTATTGTAATGTTTTAAACAATAAGGGCCAGCTGCGTTGGTGTATATGCAGCATCCAAGCCACCTTCACATGTGGGCCAGTGCCTTACAGATCTATGTTTTATTCAGTTGACACATTTTTAAAATTTACGTGATTTAATTTTAATTAAATTGTAATTTACATTAAGCCATTAAGCATGCTGAGTTTCTGTAACATGCTGGGGCAAAATGAGGTTGATTGGTTTATGATGCATTGTTATCCAAATTAGAATCTCCAGCACCTTCATATATTAAACTGATCTGTTTAATAAGTAACAACTAGCTGGGTTGATAGGTGTAAGGTTTATAAGTATAACACAGGATTTACAAACCATAAAGCTGCCTCGTGGTTTCTTTCCATAGAACTATTGTAAGAAATAAGGAAATTCAAAAATAAATGGTATATAAGATGCTTAAATGTCTAAAAAAACATATCTCCCTGTATCTACATGCTTTACTTTTATACTTTTGACATGCTCCGTTGTTAAGCCTTTTTGTTTTTATCTTATGTATAATAATGCCTTTTATATTATTATGGGTTTTTTTGTTATCTCTTTGAAAAAATGGTAGAATATGATGAGCTTTAAAATTGTATTTTCAGAAGCTAGAAAGAGGCCCTAATGAAGGGATGCTACGCAGTGGTGGGATTCAAATGTTTTTGCCACCAGTTCGGTGGGCATAGCTGGATGGGCGCGCTTTGCACGCATGCACACACTTTACGTGCACGCATGCACCAAACATGCACTTTGCGCAGGCCCACAGGCGTTCTGACTCACCTCCTGCAAGCCTGCACGATCCTGGTTGCTTCAGCAGCTGCCGCGCAGCGCTATTCTGTGCCGCGCAAAGCAGCTGCGCTTCAAATTCAGAGGATAAAGGTGAGTATGGGAGTCCGGGTGGGTGGGTGGGCCCAAGAGCAGAGCGGTGGAGAGAACCGGTTTGGTCTCCGCTGCTCATCACTTCTACCGGCTCTCCAGAACCGGGCAGAACTGGTCGAATACCACCACTGAGGCTACATTCCTTAAAGCTGAGGAAAGATGCCACATGGGCAGCCGAACTAAGAGTTACGTATGAGAACATAACGGGAGATAATTCTCTCTGGAGACATCCTAGGATTAGCTGCAACACCTGATGGCATATCCAATAAGTTTAAAGTTGGGAGGGAATGAGTCTCAACAAGGGAACTTGGGTATCGAGATGAAACTACATATAACGCATGTTTTGGAATTCAAAGGTGTGGCTTTTGATTTGAACCTGCTTGTTGAGGTTCTAAAAGATTCTCAACAGTGCTTTGCAAACTGCCCATTATTTCTTTTTTAATAAATTCTGTTTTCAATGATCCAAGTTTCTTTTGTTGGCTTTGAGTTATTTCCAACACTGTTAAGTGCTCCAGATGAGCACTCATATGATAGCATCTAGCTGCCTGCCCAGTGAGATTTTGAATCCTTACATTCTCTTATACAAAGGTTCCTCAATGACATTTCCTGTAGAAAGTCTTGAATTGAAAAAATACTTGGTCATTTGATCTCATCCTAGCATTTAATTCACACCAATTGTTACTGATGATATAAGGTATTTAGATAAGTAAAGATAAAAACTTCTATGCACCCCAAGTAGTGTTGATCTGAGCATAGTTTTTTAAAGGCAGAAAAGCAGAAGTCTCCTGGAAGAAAAGAATATCAAATTGTCATACATAATCAAGACAAGGTTGGTCGTTTGATGGTGCCGGCCAGCCTGCAATACTCCAAGTTAAATTCATAACTAATTCAGTCACTAAGTGACCAGTTTTAAGTTGATGACCTGTATCGTGTAATAGCTATCCAATTGCTTTTTATTAACCAAAAGCAATCATTAGAAATCATTCATGTTTTATTCAAAATACTACAATTTAATTCCATTGATATCTGCCAATTATACATGAAACAATGTTAGAAGAACTCGTCCTTTTTTGTTCACACTTGTGCTAAAATCTGATGTCCAAATGGTTTCTTCTGCTGCAGACATAATTGATTGGTATTATACCGAGAGCACTCAACTTATGGCCATAATTAACTGGAACCCCCATCATTAAGTGTTGCAGATACTAAGTGATTCTTTTGCTGCAGTCAAGCAAATCTGGCATCCATTATAAACTTGGCTCGTCAGAAGCACTCATAGAAATTATGATTACATTTATACCAAGATAGTGCAACCATCATACATTGGTAGCCAAGCACCTGAATTTTGATTACATGACTGTGGGGACACTGACAGTTCTAAGTGCAAGGACCAGTCGATCACTGAATAGTTATAAGTCAAGAACCACCTGTATTCTTGTTGTGAAACCACTTCTGAACAGTAATATTTATTTAGAAATTTCATACCTGGCAGAGTATCGGACTGGCTCTTTCTACAATATTTAGTCCACTGCTGGACCTTGAAGCAAATTTATGTATGAAATTATTAAAAAGTTAACTAGAAAATGGGTCCTTTGGAAACTTACTCAAAACAGTGATTCCTTTAATCCAAGGAAGGACTATAAAAACATCTAAATATTATGACGGTTTATCATTTATTACTGTAGGTTAAGAGCTATGAGCCTGGACCAATGGTGGGATTCAAATTTTTTTATTACTGGTTCTGTGGGCGTGGCTCGATGGCCGTGGCAGGTGAAGGATACTGTAAAATCTCCAGTCAGAGGTGGTATTTGCTGGTTCTACTCAAAAATTTTGCTACTGGTTCTCCAGAACTGGTCAGAACCTGCTGAATACCATCTCTGGCCTGGATATGTTTCAGTTACAGGAAAAGTAACTACTCGGCTACTGGGCTGGGGGTGGGAGGGAGAGAGGGAATAGTTCCTTGTGAATGGCAGGTGGATGCACGCAAGCATGCACAGCTCCGTTTGTGTGAGTGGTGGGCACATGAATGAAGGGAACTTTGTGCTCATGCGCAAGAGGACCGCCACTCCCACAAGGAGAGGTTCAAGGGCAAGTGGCTGCTGCTTGTGCAAGGGGAGTTTTGTGCATGTGTCTACAAGCACCCGCCACCTACGCAGCCTGGTCCTGAACAGGCCCCGCCCCGTCTCGGAGTTGGGGACCCCTGGCTTAAAAAGAACAGAATTTTCATAGCAAACTTGATAAAAATGTTCTATTAGTAGGATGTATCAGTGGGGTAAAAGAGAAACACAAGGTCCTGTGTGACATACTACCGGTAGGGGAAGTACTAGGTCACAGGTATCATTTTCCCATTCATAGAGCTGGAGTGGGCATGACTTGCGTGTGACACATCCAGCCCGTGGGCCACCAGTTTGATACCCCCGCGCTAGGTACTGTAGTCCAAACAAACATCATCAACAATATCTGGAAAACTACTGTTTTTTCCACTCTGCTATGGATTCCATGGTAATTGTAGTATTTTGGTATTTCAAGTCACCCAAAAATGAGTAGACCTTCAGTTAGTGAAATTCAGTTTTTACTGAGGAAATATTTCATTATTCAGAGCTTGGAATAGAAATAAATGGGAGGCAAGGAACTGCATTTCAGATACATAACTCCCATACAGAGGCAAGCATGATTTGACAATTAGGTATTTCTTAAGTGCTGTATAATCTGCTTTAATATCTCATTGAATGAAAATAAAATGATTACTGTATTTCATCGTTCGATTTTAAAATAAATTCAATTTTTTTCAGGACAAATTATTTTAATTGGAGGAAACCATAAAAATCAGGTACTACCGTAGATTGGGGAGGGATATACATCAATGTCTTATCTAACTATTGAAAAGGCTTCTTACTCAGTTCTGCATACAATTAATAAAATACCATTCCTACATTATCACTAATTCTATTTACAGAGTTTAACGGCAATTTGTACAGTGCTGTTTATCACAGTGAACTATACTTACAGCAACTCATACATATGATCAGTTCAAAGTCATTCAGTTTATTATTATAAAACATGAAGATTTTTAAAAGATATTTTCAAGAAGCAAGATCAGGGAGAAACTGTAATTACCTGAAAAAAGCCAGTTCTTACTTGGAGGACATAAACACCACTGCTCTAACTTCAAGGGTCTTTGTGGGTAGAGAAGCAGCTAAGCAAAGCTACTACTTATACATGTTCAATAACCCATTATTTTTCTGCTGTCAACATTAGACAAGATTGAACATTTCTGAAACTAGGACCTTAAAATCCCTACATCAAAAGGCTCCAAAACTCACAATGCTAGATAAAAAACACAACTCTGCCAAATTCCTACTAAGTTCCTTTCTATGCAGAAACAGTGGCTTGTGCGTGCTTTGAAAATGATCTGGAAAAAGCATTAGCAGACCTCAGTCAAGCATACTATTTTCTATTATCTGTGAAAGCTGCCCATCCTTCTATATTGCTTTCCCATGGATCACTTTATAAGTCGCATTAAACTGAATGAGCAGATTCCATAAAGCAGAGGTATGTTTTTAGTCTTGCTCTGGAATATTCAGGTTGCTATAATGAAGAGTGAAGTGCTGCATTTCTATGAGGCCCAAAGCACTTCTTCGAAATCTTCTTCAAATCTGCTCCACAATGAGAACAAGTTATGCTCTGGTTGATGTTTGAAATTCTTGTCACATAAAGTTTCTATTCAAAATGAATACCTTTCCTAGAATTTTCCTAACAGATTACAGCTCTCATTCTGAACTAATAGGTCAGAGATTCCAGTTTATTTAGTAGCTTCTGCTAGCTTCTGACACTAGGAATTTTCTTTTGTTTATGAGGAAAGTTTTTTTCAGATAACTTAGAATAACCACCTACTTCTGGAAAACAAGTAATATGATGCCAATCAGTTTAAGTGTATATAACGAAAGGTTGACATGTCATTCCCCAGAGTTCAAAAGTCTCACACTGGAAAAGTCACTCTGATTAAAAGACTCACGAATAGATAAGGCATGAAAATCACAGCAACTCATTAACTTTATAACACCTCAAGCTGGGTAGAAAATCCTGCCCTAAAATTAGCCAAACAAATGACCCCAAATGATAACTGATTGAAGTCTGTAAAACAAAGAATTACACTATTTCCTCCCCTCTATTCCTTCCTTACTGTTGCTGACTTACTTGTAAAATATTACAACTATGAGTCAATTACAATGTTTTGCATCCCTTTTCACTTCTCTTGTTACTTCAGCCTACTTCCAGTTAACACTGTTATCTTACGAGAGCTAGGCCTGCCTAGCTATTTACAAAAAAACTGTGCTCCAAAGATGTGTCTTCAAGATCAGTATATCTTCTGATGGTCTCTGATTCTCCTGTAAAGAACAGCATCAGCATCTTTGCACTAGAGTCTTCAAAGAGATGTGAAACTTATCTAATAATACATAGTATAGGCTGTTCCTTCTGTCAAGGACAAGGATCAAACCAGGCCATATTTTGATCAGAATGCTCACACTGCCGATCTCCTGTTTAATATTTGTTGATTCCAAAGATCCTAACTCCATGCAGCTGTGGCAGTTTGGGAATAAGCACACTTAAAAGAGAAGTGGTGTTCAGAATGAAATGTGTTGGGTCGTATTTGGTGTAAAAGCTTGCCAAGAAATACCTGCATTGAAAAGAGAAAAAAGAAAAGAAACAGAATTATCAGAATGAATAAAAAGTTAAAAATTAAAGAAGAGCAAAACGTGTTCTTCTGAAACAAAGAAAAATGTCTTCTGTCTTTTTATGTGACTAATTATTTCATCTCTGATTAGGAATAACCTTGCTTAAGTTACAGGTAGTCTTCGATTTACAACCATTCAGTGTGACTGTTCAATGTTACAATGGCATTGAAAAACGTGAGTTATGACTGTTTTTCATACTTACAACTATCGCACCATCCTCAGGGTCGCGCGATCAAAATTCAGATGGTGGGCAACTGATTCATATTTATGATGGTTGCAATGTCTCAGGACTCATCTGATCCCCTTTTGTGACCTTCTGACAAGCAAAGTCAATGGGGAAGCCAGATTCACTTAACAACCTTTTAACTTAACAATGCTAGTGATTCCATAGTGGCAAGAAATGTTGTAAAATGGGGCAAAACCCATTTAACAACTGTCTCATTTAGCAACATAAATTTTGGGCTCAACTGTGGTCGTAAATTGAGGATTATCTGCACTTAGTTGCTTATTTTAGAAAAGGGATTATTCAATTTGCCCATTTTGATGGCAAAGTATTTTGAGGAGTATGCAAAAATGAGAAAGATGTTGTTTTCGACCTCAATCAAACTACTAAACTCCAGTGGTTCTGCCAACATTTGGTAAAATCAATCAAAATCTGGAATTATACTAGAAAGAACCAATGTAGAGGTGCTGAGGTGTGTCACACTCCCTTCTTCTGCAGCTCTTTATATGACAAATCCCTTCACCCCACCTCTTCCATTTTCTTAGTACCTTTCCTTTATTCTTTCCCTAGTAGCTGCCAATGTCCCTTGATTTTCATTCTATCCGTTATCTAGGCTTTGGATATCTTTGGCTCTCTTCCCCCATCCCAGCAGAAGGTGATGTTCATGAGATGCTAAGGCTGTATATTCTATATATGTTCTATAAAAGATGCAAAAGAGTTCAGAGTTTCTGTTTTAATTGCAGCATTGAAATGTAGTTGGAGAAAACAGGTTGGTAATTGACTCCTGGATGTTTTATGAAGTTAATTGCAAGAGATCCATTGGGAACTGAGCAGTATGAAAATAAAACAAAATAAACAACCTGGTGCAGTTTTGGAGCACAGATTTCAACTTCATATTACATAAGGATAAGGATAAGTTTATTTTATGAGAATAACTATAACCAACAACCAGACTATTTCACCATGCAAGCACTCTCATGTTTATATTGGTGCGATAGTAACAGACTTTAGGATACAGAGAAAAATTTAAAACAAAAAAATCTGGACATGATTTATTTCTAGAACACTGACTCAATCTCAGCCAGCAATGATGTCAGGTTAATGTCTTAGCATTAAATTTTGATAATGCAGGAGTGTACTGTCTTCCTTTGGTATTTAAAAACAATATAACAAAGGCACACCTATAAGCAAGAATCTATGTACAGCCTAAGAGATGGGATGAGTGAAAACAGTATCCAACAACCATACATTATTAAGCTGTTCTTTAATATGATTGTCTAGAAAGTCATACTGGGACAATTTATTTGCAAATAGCATCATAACCAAGAAACCTTAGCTGAAAGATATTTAAGGCACACAATATCTGGAATGTTGTAAAATTATTTTTTTTAAAGCGTTGAAACATGAAACATTGATTATATTAAGTTTTAGTTAACTGGAGAAATCTTATTTGTAAAATAATTGAAGGTTAGGCTGTGGCATTTTGAATTCAACAGACAACTGCAAACTATTTTTGAAATGTCACATTTGTTTTGAATTAATGCCAGTTTTTAAAAAACCCACCTATTTCAATTCTGCAATATACTTCTCTGTACATCTCTGCAAATAATTGTGCATGAAGCTGTCACTTCCATTATAAAAATTCCAAAATAGTTTACAGAAACATATTTTTCTTCCTTTTAAAAGCATACCAATTCAGAGATACAGAAATAGAACATATTGATTCTAAATAATTTGTAGTTTAAATACTGATTTGCTCACTGCAATATTAATGCATCTGCAGTGTCAGAACAGTCAGTGTAGAATTTTCAAAACTTACAAAATTATCGGTGAGATTGTGAAGAATTTTCGTGAAGATGTAAACTGTACACCATAATCCAGCTGCTCCCAGTGTGTCAGCAATCTTGCTTTACCTTGGTCAGGCGTTTCAAAAGGTGTTCCTTTTACTGCATGCAAAAATACATACATTCCCTGCAAAAGCAAAACAAACCCATGCAAAACAAAAACCATGTTAGCTATGCTTCATTATTAACATAATGCATGAAATCTGTGTGAAGGATCTGAAACATTAAGCACTAGACTTCTAAAAATATGTTCTGTGATTTGCCAATAGATTAAAAAATATTTGAGCAACAATACTAAGATAAGGTTGCTCATGGAAAGATTAATCCAATTAGACATTTTATTCTGGCCCAATTTCAGTTATTCCACCTAGCAACTTTTTTCAGTAAAGCCAGAAGATAAGGCAATAACTCTAAATAAGTCCAATGAAGACAATGATTCTTGCTTTCAATTTCATAAGACTAACAAAGTCTATGTGAATTTGTTCATCTGTTTTATTAAAATATAGAGAGCAGTTTGCAAACTCAATCTGTGACAAAAAAAATCTGAAGTATAGTGATCTCACAATCAAGATTGTGAGCATTACAGGGTAGCTTTTCTACTTTTCTAAGATGTTTCCCCCCTCACTCTAAAACAAATTGCCAATCATCCAAGGAAGCTTTATTCGTGTACCATTGGTCCAATGCCAGAAAAATATGATTAAATATTGCTTAAGTGTATGGTGCATGTTTGTGCCAAGTTTCATACACTAATTCAGGAGTGGAAAGCTTAAAGCTTTCTAGATGCAACAGGATTGCAACAGATAAATATCCTTTCCCATGGAAATTACCGGTATTATGACTACTGGGAACTGTAGATAAACATCATAATAGGCTCTCCATCCTATTTTAATCCAAAATGGGTGATTTGATCAAAACTCATGCTTTAATCACCAGGGACCATTCAACTCTTAGTGATAATCGAGAATGGAAATCTGATTAACTTTCTACTCCTTTGGTTATCAGCAATATAGATACAATTGGTTATCCTTAATAGATTTTAGGGCTCCTGTAACTTTATAAATACATATTTGCCCATTACTGTTAATTTAAAACAATTCCTATTACTGCTATAGCACACTAATTTTGTTAAATTTATATCCCACCTTTAATTTTGTCTAACGCAAAACAGAGTATATAATACTCCCTCTTCCTGCTATCCATATAACAGCTATGTGAGGTGATTTTGAGCTGAGAGTCACTGGCCCAAGTCATCTTACTTCAGGTGGACTGAAATTCATACCTGTTTCTAGCCCAGCACCTTAGCCACTACACCTAATGGCTCTCTTGTAATTAGAAGATAACAATGTAATATCATGTGCAGGTAGTCCTCGACTTACAACCTTTCATTTAGTGACCAGTTGAAGCTACAATGGCACTGAAAAAAATAACTTTATGACCATTTTTCACACTTACAACCATTGCAGATCCTCTGTTACGTGATAAAAATCCAGATGCTTAGCAACTGGTTTGTATTTATGATGGCTGCAGTGTTCCAAGGTCATGTGATCATCTTTTGTGACCTTCTGACAAGCAAGTCAATGGGGAAGCCAGATTCATTTTACAACTGTCTTACTAACTGAACAACAGTAACTTAACAACAGTAGTGATTCAATTAATAACTGTGGCAAGAAAGGTCATAAAAATGGGGCAAACCTCGCTTAACAATGGTCTCACTTAACAAGGGAAATTTTGGGGTCAATTATACACTTCAGGACTGAGCTGTGGAGTTCTTGGTGCTCTTTGAACTTACTTGTTTGCTTGCAGATGTTTCACTACCCAACTACATAAAAATCACTTGGTTGAGATAGGCTCCTATAGAAATTGAGTTAATAAAATAAATATCATCAAGTGAATGTGGGGTTTGCTGCCTGTTTACATATAATAGCTTGTCCTTCCAGTTTTTGGTGGAGGTGTCGTTTCCTCCCTGGCAATTCCTTGATTATTATTTTCTGCCTGACTTTTCTGGTGTTGATCTCTAGCTAAGTACTGACTGCTGGATGGAATGTGTTCTAGTTTGTTTTCTTAGTTTTTTTATTGTTTCTTTTGAATGCTATGCATTTTAATAATTATAACTGTATACCTTTACAATGATAATTAAAACAAAAGAAATCAAAGATAGTACCAATATTAATAGGTGCCTGGGGTGCCATTCCAAAACATTTGAAGCACCATTTGATACCATCAGCGTTGACAAAATCAACACCAGTCAATTGCAAATGTCAGGTTTAATTGGAACAGCTTACTTCCTACAACAATTATCTTTAATACCATCAAGCAACATCTGCCTACCCCAGGTCCTTGGGAAGGAATCAATATGTAGATAAAAATGCCAAATCCAAACTAAACATCTGATTGACTGTACATCCAACCATTCAATTATATAATTATTATAACATAATTATTATTATAATTGGGAACCACCCAGAGTTGGTTAAGATGGGCAGATACATGCATTCTGCAGTTCAGGATGCTCACCAAATTATGAATAATATTGGTTAAGGTCCAAGCCACTGGAACACTGAAGAAAGGAATGCTGAGCAAGACAATATGAAGCAAACCAACTCCAAGGGTGTAAGTGAGCCACATTCCTCGACTGCTCATGACCCTCGTGTTGGGATTGACTTCACTGTGAGCAACCCCAACATTCATCTTTTTGCTTTAATTCTGAAAAGAAATATTGGAAAAGAAAATGTGCATCATAAGGTATGTTTTTCAGGGTTAGTTATACCACTGTCAGACTGGGCGAGGTCATCAACTACTGCATAAGATCAACTCAGCATCTTACAAATTAACAGTACAAAGTATTTGAAATGTGTTTTAGCAACATTAGTCACTGTAAGGCAATTCAAAACAATTAACTTTTTTAAACTCTAAAGCAGTGTCAACCCATGGTCCAAAGGACCTATGTGGCCCTGAACAGCTAGTAATGAAGCCCCAGAAGGTCATATACTTTTAACATTATTATGTGATTTATATACATTAACTATATTATATATTTTATATGCAGCCCATGACAATTCCTCTTCACTCAATGAAGCCAAACGGTTGGACACCCATGATCTAAACATCAATAAAAATATCAAAGAATTAATATAAGTTAATTTATAATTGCAATCAATACAATCTAATTTTTATATGCATTTATTTATTTATTTCCATTTATTTATTTTTTCTATACTAGAGAAAGTTGTTTAAGGTTTTTTAAAACAACATATGCTTATTCAGGAATACTTATAATTGGATGCACAGACCACTAAAAAGCAATTAACAAATCCTAAACATCAATCTAAAAAGAGAATGTTTATTTTAAATCAGCTTAATGGAAGGTTATTTACAGAAATTTTTATGGGTATAAAATATCATCTTGCATGTCAATAATAATTAGGTATCACTGCTAGATTTATTTCCTTATTTCAGAAGGGGGGGAAAGAGCCATTCTCCCAAATTGTATATGAAAAACAAAGCTTCAGTTACATCAGCTTTGATCAAACTCAACCCAGATACTTTCATAAGTTGACATGTATTGTACTTTCTTACCGGTCTCCTGTCTTCCATCTCTCATACATACACCTAGGTTGAATTCATTGGCGCTTAAGGTTCCATTACTTGTTTTATTTGAAAATTGTATTTTTTATCATTCTAGTTACAAGCAGATAACTTGTGAAGGAAGACTCTGACTTCCGAAGGCAACATAAGCTATTCAATTAGTCCTGTATCTGTGGTAGGCATACACCCATTTATCCACCCTACTGTACCAATTTAGAATGTTTGTAATGTGAGCATCCAATACAAAGGAAAATCATATTTAAAAAGAATATGATGCACAAAGCAAACAAGAATAACGCACAAATAACATAACCACACACACGATTCACACTATAATTTATACTACAACTATTCAAAAATTAGTCATGTTCAGTAATTCAGTTACCATAGGATCAGCACAATCCGTGCACAATTGGACACCTAAAGCATAATTGCTTACCTATGTTTAGAATCCAACTAGAAATGTATGGCATACAATCAAAGACAGTCTAAAATAAGTGAACAGCAAATATCCTTCATCTTTAATTACTTAGGTGTATCACTTGTCCTTCATTTTCTAAGGAATATATATTTATTATTTGGATGTAATCTACAGAGCTCTCCCAACATTTCTTTTTTTTTTTTAATCCGCGTTAAAATTAATTAAACTAGAATTTAACCTTTAAGAATAGTTGAATCAGAAAGCAGCTCTTTGTTCGTGCCGCTGGTAACAAACCAGGAAAGGTCTCCGAACAACTTAAAGAAAAGATCCCTGGACTCACTTCTTTGCACCTCCGGCATAATCCAGCATCATATATTAGTGTTGCACTGTAAAGAACTATTAATTATTATACATATATATATATATATAATCGCGGCTGATGCCAAGACCACAGAAAAAGCCAAATCTGCCCGCGACGCTCTTTTTTCGGAAAACGCCAAGCAGGCGCAATCGGGCAAAACCAAGCATAAATCGTGCTTTTAAAAACCCGATTGCAATGGTGCTTCCTTATTTATTGTTTTTATTACTATTATTACTATTATTATTATTATTTATTATTATTATTATTAGAGCTTTGGGGCGAGCAGAAAGCAGAGAGGCCCGACTCCCCGCGCGCCAAGGGTGCTGAGCTACGGCATTGTTTCTCCATCGAGCGCAGCCGCTTTGTCTTCACCGGTCCCCGTGCTGCAACCCATCTTCCGCCGCCACGCACACCAGTTGCATTAGCCCAGGAACCCCGACCGTAGGCCACATTTGCGCAGAACCAACACCCTTCCCCTCCCGCCTTCCATTTTTTGTACTGCACCTTTTCGCCAACCGGGGAAACAATCCCGCGCCGAACCGCCTGCTTCCCAAAGCTTCTCCGGCTCTTCTGAAGTGTTGCACTGTAAAGCAAGGGAGGGAGGCTAATTGGGTCACCGTTAGCCCCGCCCCTTCTCTATCAGGCGCGCATGAGACGAGGACTGGCGGGGCCCGGAGGGTTCCAAAGGAGGTGGAAAAGAGAGGCGAAGGGAGTTTTTTGACCGCTCCGGAGGAGGAAAGTATAGTATGGTTTTCGGCCGGTCCTTTTGGCAGAGCTGTCTTTATTTTTAGGCCGCACTCCCTCTTCGTGCCTGCTCCGGCACAATAGGCCTGGGGAGGTCACGTGACTCAGGCGAGCCTTCCCCCCCCTCCCGCCCTGAGGTGGAGCAAGGAATGAAAACAAAACCCCCCGACGCTGATCTCTCCCTCCCTCCCGGTTGCTCGGTGTAGGCCGTGTGTATTTATAACCGTTGCTTGAATTTGCTTTTTATTGAATGGCTGCCCGCTTCTTTGGCCTTGGGCGACTTCCAGGCCGGGAATGCTTTGCTGCGAGGAGGTGGAATATAGATGGTGGGCCAGAGGTGTTACCGTTTGCGTTTTGCTTTTGGGGACTAATCCAAAATCACTGCCATCTCGATTTGGAAGGGGTTGTGGTTATAAAAAGAGCGTTAGCACAGTTGCTAAAAAGACAGCCTGGTAAAAACAGGGGGACTTTGCTGAGCTCTGGGATTTATTTCCATATAATCTTGCCATATAATACCGTATTTGGCAATAACATTTACTTCATTGTGCTTGTTTAAAAATATTTTGCCTTTTTAGCATTATCGTAGTAAGTGAGCTTAAGCCTAAAAGGCGTAACTAGAGGTGGATGTTACTATTTAGATAGGAGACCACCAGGAAATGCCAGGTCTTTAGATTGGACTGAGAAGCTGAAAAGGTATCCCTGAAACATACCGTTCCCTTATTATTGCCAAGAAAACAACATTCTGTGCATGCCCATGCCTGTTCATTCATTAGGAACAGGGTTCTATTTGAGCAAGACTTTTAGTGTTTCCAGCTATTTATTTTTTAAATTGCTTTTCCAGTGCAGCCAATTAAGATGATTTAAAAAAAGCAAAAACACTTCAAAGAAAATGATAATCTTTTATTTATCATAACAGAATTATGGTGCAAACAGAAAACTGAAACCAGCCACTATCAACAACACCATAGGCCTCAGTAGAGTTCTACATCAACTATAATTTAAGGTAATTATTTATATTTTGGGGCTATCTGTTATAATTGGACTCCTAAAATATCAGCAAAGTTTTAAAAGAACTACTAGCAGGAAAAAAACGTGTTTCATATGTCTCCCAATTTAGTTTCTTGCATACATAACTACCCAAATAAGATTTATAATGCTGATCTAAGAGGGCAGGAAACTTGCAGTGGTTCTACATCAGTGTTGGCAAACCTTTTCGGCACTGAGTGCCTAAATGGGAGCATGTGCGCATGCAGGGGAGTGCCAGAAACCAGAACAGCAGCTTCCTGGCGTGCCGCCCGCAAGAGCACCAAAAACCGAAAGAGCAGCTCCCTAGTGTGTGTCTGTGCGCCGGCCACCTGGTCTTCCGGTTTCTGGCATGCATGCACACGCAAAGACCAGCTGGCTGGTGTGCATGCGCGCGCCGGAACCTGGAAGAGCAACAGGACAGGTGGTGTGCCCGGAGAGATGGTTCTGCGTGCCACTTCGGGCACGTGTGCAACTTCCAGCAGGCATGCCATAGGTTCACCATCGCAGTTCTACATGGTCCCTTGAGTAGCTTGAAGCTTTATAGCAGCACTTTAAATTGAACCAGAGAAACCATAGCAATGTAGCAGGTACAGTATACAAGTAGTCTTTGACTTATAACTGCAATTGAGCCCAAAATTCATGTTGCTTAGTGAGACATTTGTTAAGTGAGTTTTGCCCTATTTTACAACCTTTCTTTCTTGCTACAGTTGTTAAGTGAATCATTGCAATGGTTAGTAACCTTAATTGGTAAGTGAACCTGGCTTCCCCATTGATTTTGCTTGTCATAACATTTCAAAAGGTGATCTCATGACCCCAGAACACAGCAACTGTCATAAATATGAACCAAATGCCAAGCATCTGAATTTTGATCATGTGACTATGAGAACAATGCAACAGTCGTAAATGTGAAAAACTATCGTCAGTTACTATTTTCAGTGCCATTTTAACAGTCACTAAATGAACTGTTGTAAGTCCAGGACTACCTGTATCTGCTTTAGAGTTAACATCTTACCAGTTTCCAAGCTATTTTTTTAAAGGTAGCTCTATCTGGAAAGCATATGACATAGGCTGAATACCAATACTGTAGATTACGTTAGGGTGTGTTTGCACAACAAGCTAAATCATATATTAGGCCTATGCCAACTACTTAGAGAAAAGCTTTGCTCATAAATGAGATTCTTTTTTGGATCTGCTTCTCAGAACAGCCACTTGAAAACATTCCATGAATACATTCAGCTACGCTATCCAGTAAAGCAGTAGTGTGTTGCGCACAGAAAATGCTAGATTTGGATTAAAGCCTTCAGATCAGTACTTGGATTCAAAGAACATAATAATCTGGCATAAAAAATAAAACTGGAAATAATGAGATACTGAATTTAAGGGAATTGCAGGGTGTGGAGAGATTAGGTTGCTATAATCCTTTTTGTCCCTGAGCTCTTCCTCCTGCTCTTTCTTTCTATACATTTTCCTGTATATAATATCTACATTTGTTCCTCTTTGATTGTGGCAAGTCTTGCTGGTCAGCCTGGTCTTGATATTCCCTTCAGCTCCTTCACACAGTTTGTTTGACTGCCAGGGGAGGAAGTCGCTCTTCTCATACCATATGGCACAAGTAATTTTCTTTACCTTTCTCCATTCTTTCCAGAGCTTGGAGGGGTTCTCATTTGTAGGTCAGGACCCTACAAGTGTCTGTATGCTGCTTGTTGGAAGCTTTATATTATGCTGTTGTACACAAGCAGTGTCTGGAGATCACCAGGAGGGGAATTTCAGTTCCTGTGAATGGTTTGCAAATGGGGCAACTTCTACCATCACCAGTTAGGCAGACTAGTCCAAAGAAGGCCAGCTGCTCCATGTGAACATGAGCCTAAGTAGGTTATTCTTAAAATGCTGAATTATGGTTTAGCATTAAAGCTAAGCTTTTGAACAACTGATACTAAAACAATGCATTATACTCTAAAGAATACTGACCTTTTGCAATTTAGCCTTGAATCTGATGATTGGCCTTTGAAACATTCTTCTAAGCCTCTACCATGCCTTCTCTTTAAAAGCTGAAGTAATGCTTCTGAAGATAAGCCATATAATGTAAGAGTATAGCTTTCTTTCTGTAATGAGGAGAGTATGCAATTCTGAAAGAAAATTTTGAAAGACTATTGTTGCACAATTGTGCTGCTATAACTTACGGATAAGTTTTCTTGAGACGTTATCTAGTCTTAGGTTAATTTCTAATATTTTATTTCAATTAGGGGAGGCCAATGAAAAAGTCTAAAATTGTGAGAGAATAAGTCCTGATCTTCTAAGAGGATATATTTCAATTATTTAAACTGCAATATCCTCCAATTTTTTTTCAAGGCTAAACTTATTAACGTTTTTAGTCTGTCATCATACATCTTAATTTCTAATCCCTGAGCATTCTTGTTGGCTCAACTCCATTCCAGTTTCTGGAAAGCCTTCTTAAAGTAAAGTAAACATACCTAAAGTTGAGTGTAATGAAAGTAAATGAACAGTTACTTGCTGTAATTTCAAAATTATGCATTTGTTGATATGGTCTAAACTTGCACTTACCTTTATGCAAAAATCAAAAATGTAAAACAAATATAACTACCACTCATAATAAGCAATCAACCCTTCAAATAATAATTAAAATTGGGTAGTAAAGTTGCATTCTGATTAAAATACTGATAAATAGGGTATATCTGCATCTCCAGAGATAAAGTGGTTCACAGTTATGGAGCATACACATTATGACAGAAAATCATAATGTTCTTGCAAACTGGAGGTGCTATCTAAAGTGAAGCAGTTTTGCAGTATCTAGGTGCCAAGCCATAAAATGTCCTCCCAGGTTAAAACCAGCACTTCTGTTTCTATGTGGAAGCCTAGGCAACTCATGCAAAAAACGTTAGATGGCACCAGTGACTCCCCTAACAGGTGTCTGCATTCTACACCAGTGATCCCCAACCTTTTTTATGCCGCGGCCTGGTACCGGCATCAGCTGGGCGCCACGGCCCGGTACCGGCATCAGCTGGGCGCCGCCATCTTTTTTTGATGAAAAAGTGCTTCCGGTGAGCTTTTCCGGGTAGAAAGCTCACCGGAAGCAC